CACAACTTAAAGTGCAGGAAATATTTTGTGGTAATGCACAGATTCGAACCCAGTTCGCCAACTCCGAAATTCAAATTTCTACTATAGGGCTAACCTACGCCCCATATTTTTTTTGACGAGATGTCACGCATAAAATTCGCATACCTTTTTCATTTACTTTCGGTTTATGTTTTTACCCACGTTTCTGTAATGATACAATTTTGTTATGAAAGTTCACTGACCCTGAGACATGTTCTTGAACACATCTATATGGTCATGTAAAAGAGAGATCCCAGATCATAAAATGACTACAAAGCGTAGATGTAGTATGTCAAATGGCATACGATCTCTTGAAACTACGTATTGCACTGCGACAGCTAAACTTCACAAATGCATGTTCTCTAATGTTAGATGCTGATTATATTGTCACAGCTATGAACTCTAGAAGAACAAACCAGAAATTTCATTTTATGTGAATAAATTGCATTTTTTCTACTCGTTTCACAAAGAGCAAAGTATTTTGTAAATGTTTGCATAGTCTTCAAATAACAGTCATAAAGTACGATATTTGTTTGTTTGTTTAGAATTTCGCGCAAAGCTACACGAGAGCTATCTGCGCTAGCCGTCCCTAATTTAGCAGTGTAAGATTAGAGGGAAGGCAGCTAGTCATCACCACCCATCGCCAACTCTTGGGCTACTCTTTTACCAATGAATAGTGGGATTGACCGTCTGTTATAACGCCCCCACGGCTGAAACAAGAACAGGTAGTTATTGTTTTCCACAGCTACCAAAAATATTCATACATCATTTTTATCATGTCAAGTTCGTAAATGTCATTGTTTTAATTACTGTTAATAAAAGCTTAGAATGAAATTCAAGAAAAGAATATTATTCTGTTGTTTTACATCGTACTTCGACTCGCAATCTGAGGGTCGCGGATTCGAATCTCCGTCACACTAAACATGCTCGCCCCTTATTTTCATGAATTTATTTATAATTCTTCTTCATCGGGATTCGGTCCGTGTTTTGGACCAGGAAGGGTCAGGTTCAGCGTAGACCTCTTCCCCACTCTCTGGAATTATTTTGTTTGCACTATTACTGAATCCTAGGTAATTACTCTTGTTACTTTATTGTTGCATTGCTCACAGTATGTTAAATTTTGTCCATTGTTCGCAGTTTTAATTAACATACCCTTTTCGTGCCACGTAGTTTCATGAAATCTAAAATACTAGTTTGTTTTTGAATTTTGCGCAAAGTTACTCAAGGGCTAATTGCACTAACTGTCCCTATTTTTGGAGTAATAGAATAAAGGGAAGACAGTTAGTCAACACCACCCACTCTTCAACAACGAATAATGGGAATGACTGTTACATTATAATATTCACGGCTGTAAGGGCGAGCTTTTTTTCCGGGGACGAGATTCGAAAGCATGACCCAGAGATTACATCAAATCATAACACTAGCGTCGAAAAGAAATATAATTTCAATTGTTTATAAACAGTTATTTAAAAAATATCCAATCCCCAAATTAAGATTTCACCGTTTTATGACACCCAACAGTTTAGAGTATTATTATTTTTTGTTTCTTAAAGTTGTACAGTTTATTTAATATTCATGAAATAAATTATGTACTACGTGTCTAGCAAGAAAGCTAGTTTCTATGGGATATGTACTTGGATATTAATTATTTAATTCACCAACCGGTTTTACCTTCAATTTTATTTTAACACAGGATCCGTGTTTCTCTCCTGAACTTTATGCAAAGTGACAGGCAGCTAGTTAATACCATTCACCGCCAATTCCTGATCAATGAATAATGGGATTGCCCGCCACTTCATAACGCCCCGAGGCTGAAAGGGCAAGCATGTTTGGGGATAAGATTCGAACCCGTAATCCACAGATTGTGAATCAAGTGCCCTAACTACTACGCCATGCCAGACCCCTAACAACAATAATGTATGTTTTAATAAGGAAAAAAATTATATCCAACTCTCAACTGAGACATTAATAACAATAATTTGTTTGTTGAAGTTCACCCAAAGCTACACGAGGTTTACCTGCACTAGCTGTCTCTAGTTTTGAAGTGATAGCCTACCCACCAGCAACTCACGGTCCGAATGTGCGGAGTGTGATTTATTTGTTTGTTGGGGAGAGAGGAGTCAAGCACCATAACCACCAAGTCAAGAAAAACGCAGGATCTATACTTCAACTAGATGCAATGTTTTTAGGTGGTAGGGCAAGGAACAAGAGATGTCAGTTTGTTTCTTGGATGTGTTGAATATTTCGTTGGAAAGTCCAGAACTTGTTGTATACAAATATGGAATCCATATAATGGTAACGTATTCAGGGCTGATGAGAGAGGAGGGGAGGAAGGGTGGCAGCTGCTCTGGGACCCGTTGAGGAACCCGGCAGTGGGATATTCCAAAGCTCACTAGAATTGCACATTTAATGAGCTACTGCTTTTTTATAGATTCACGAAGAAATTTATCTAAATTTCTTTTATGAAAGATCATCAAAAGTTAATAAATATAATGAAAGGTGGGTGGGCGATGATATTACTTACCCTGGTGCCTGGGCTGGTTCTCGACGTCCCTGAATGTATTTCATTTGGGAGTTACAAACAGTCAAAAAGACAGGGTTTCAGAATGGCCCTACCACCACTCTAGCAACAATCATACACACACACACACTAACCCACCATCTCTTTTCCGACTCTCAAATAAAAGTATGTAACTTTTCTCCACTACCTGTTTGGGTTTTGAAACCTCTTTCTTGATTTTCTGATCTGGCAGAAGTCCGCTAATACTACTATCAATACTGTCCTTGTCAGCAACAAACCTATTTTTAAGTTATAGCATCTTTGGACGTGACAGATGAATTTGCCTCAACAAGGGCTGAAAAAAGTCAATCATGACTGTATCCACAGCAGTTACACAGGTTGCAAGTCAAACATCTCGGAACCTTCCATTTGCAAGTAATTGAGGTAATAAAAGCGATTAATGACACATCAAAAAGAAGCAAAGTTCCAGTCATGATTATTGGGGTTTGCAGCTATCTGCTGAAGATCTGATCTGAAAAATGGATGCAACAAAGAAGGCTCATGTAGAGAACTCGTCAGTCACACAAAGTACTGTTATTAACTATGCAGTTTCTACTAATGATGTGGCTAGTTATAACTCGGTCAGCTTTGTCTGACTTGACTTGGAAACTGTAAATTGTAATTGTTGTATCTCATCATATGCTACATTATATACAAGTTTCATCCAAAACAGATAAATCCTGGACTTCTTACATCCGATTCCTGCCACCGAGATGCCTTTAGTTGAGGGAAAGATCCTGTGTTAGTTATTTCAATTTTACACTACATTTCGACTTTATCAAGTAAAGTTTATTTTGTTTCTGATTTTTCGACGAAGGTTTCAAAGCTTTCACTCTCTGCGATATCAGACATGATAAATTTATCATAGTTTTTGACGCAGTAGTGTTAACTGGTTGTCCAGCTTTGGTTTTAAATTTTGGATTAGGAATGCTTCCTTTTCCTTTTAATATCCATTCATCTGTCGCCGAGTCTATTATTTTGAAGTGTTTGATGTTCGGCTTCTTGCTTCAGTTTTTGTTTATATGGTTGTAAATTCCAGAGTTGTTGGAAGGGCTGTTTTACGCATGCATCTTGACTCTGATAGCTAGGACACATGTATTCATACACCATCAGTAATCTTTTAGAAGGAAGTACTTTGTCTTTCAAGAGGAAAAAAATTGCATATTCGTTTGTTTAGTTTGAAAATCACTCTTAGGCTGACTTGAGGATTAGTTGTTTGCAGAATATTAATAATTTTTATTTTTAGTTTGATGCCTTGAGAACCAGTGATAGATATTTGGGGACTTTTAAGCCTGAAATATTGGGGTTGTAAACTTTATTAATATATTCAAAAATATATTTGTTGATGAATTCTAGACGACGACATTTTTAATAGAGTATTTTATAATATTGATCACTTCACCATGAGAATTACAATAACAGTTGGTAAGTTTATAAGCCCTATCAATTGGAATGTTTATTAATTTTGTAACAAACAAATATGAATGTGTTGAAATATTACATACCTGATTTTGCATGTGACCATCTAAAATTTGATATATTTAGCATTTAATTTTGCTAGTTATGATGATACTTCACTGTAATGCGAATCTTATTTTAAGTTTGTACAAATCACAGCTTTTAATTAGTTAACAAACAATTTAATTTTGCATTGTGCTTAGTTTGCTGTTATTATGTTCAGTTTTAATTACTTAATCTACTGGGTTTTGAGCCTGTATGACTAATAAAGTTTTTTATTTATCCACATTCAAGCATCATGGCCCAAGGAATGTCGTCTAAAGATATGACAAATGATATATTTGTTTGAGAATTACATGCAAAGCTAGGCAAGATCTATCTGTATACATCCATTCCTAATTTTGAGCAGACAGTCAACAGCTCACACTGTAAACTTTGTCTCATGAAACAGTGGGATTTGACCATCACTTTTATAGTATACCAATTGTCCCAAACAGCTGAACACAAACCAATCAACCACACCCAGCCCGAGATCAAGAACTACAATTTTCAAAATTGTTTATGCAAGTGTCGTGGATTTAGCTAATGTCCTTAGGAAGAAGATATAATTAGTCATAAACTGGCATTAATCTTTGCTTCAGACTAAGTTTCATGCTACAGCAGTTATTCCAAACAACTTAGCCATGTTTGTGTTCTCTCTCCCCTGAGGCATGGGCCATACCCAAGTAAAGGGATAGTATAGTGTTTTGTGCAAGATACCACAAGCTCAGAGTTAATCTCACTTTGAATATCTAAACAGAAAATGGTCACTGAGGTAGGTAATCTTGAACTGTTGAATATAATAGGGCTTTTGTCTTCAGAAACTGTCCAGCAAGTGTAGTGTGACATTGCAAATGTTGAATAAATACACCAATGATTAATGTATTAATAAAGATTTTATTCTTTGGTGTACACTTCACCAATTTCATTTTCCTTTTTTGTCCATGTCTGATTTATTCCCAAACAAGAAGCTTTTTGAAACCTCCTATAATTAATACTTACTACATAGTTCCAGTAATATTACAGATTGATACTGTTTTTGTTAACTTTAATGTTAGCCGAAACTGTGTTGTAGCAAAACAGAAAATTAGAAATACTTGGATGGTGGAATCTTTGTAGAAAATTTATAATGCTATTCTCACAAACTGATCAAGAAAAGTAATCAACTTATCAACTTCTGATATAGGTGTATTAAATAAGTCATTTTTTTATCTTCTAATTATAATAATCTACATTATTTAATATGTGCTTTCAATTCTTGATATAAATGTTAAAACATTTTCATACTTTAGAACAAAGAGAAGACTTAGTTGTTTCTTTCTTATTAAAGTGTAATAAATAACTTCAACTTTAAAATTACAAACACAGTTTCTAATTCTAGATACTTCCACTACATAAATAAAGTTGTCAATACAGCACTTATTAATAATATACAAGTTTTGATTTATTTTTCAAAACTGTTGAATGATCTTGCTTTTCAATTAAATTATTATTTTTGTTTGAAAAGCCCCTTTTTACAAAATACAATTAATTAGCAGAAATTCTTTCTTCTATAGTGAGTGTAGGTTGAAGTGCAAAGAATGTTTAGTGAAATGTTGCAGACTCAAACAGTGGATTTTCTGATCTGCAATCCAGCATGTTAATCACTAAGCTTCATCTGTCCATAATAGGAATAGAAACCTTTTGATCAATTATGCTAATAAAAAAACAATAACACATATTATAGCATCTTAATATTGAAAACTTAAGAAAACTGGTATCTTCATTGACACTGAAAACTGATGGATAGCAGTTGTTATACTGTAATTGAATATAACTAATTGAGAATGATATTATGATAAATGAGATAAAACATGAAAATAGGCTCTACAAAAGTATTTCATCAAGCAACAGTACAAGTAGTTCATTTATTTTCATAACCAATTCTTGTTTAGAGTACACTATGACAGAATTTAACATATATTAAAAAAATTCATAAGTGAAGTAGCTGGAATCATACAGGAATATTTTAATGGATACACTTACATCTTGTGTGGTTTCTCTTCCATTTAGATAGTTCTTTTATATAAGCCCAATATGCCAACCAGGGATTCATAAAATCATAAGCTTCATCTTTCCGACATGTTTGTCTGGGATGGTGGCTCCTGCAAGGATTACTCCAATAGCTGAAAATACTCTTGTGGTTCCTAGATTTCTGATCATTCTGACACTGTGTAACACAATGAAACCTACAACTCTGATTACCATCACAACATCTACTTCTTCTGATAGAGTCTACTGAATGGTAATGTTTGAAATGTCTTCTCTTGTCTCTTAGGCAATGATGATGATGTCTCTTACTTATTGCACCTGTTTGTGAGTTGTTACAGGTCTGATACTCGCAAAGATGTCCAACTTCCAATGGTCTAGATACTTCTTGCATCATACAAGACTTACAAAAGCCTGATGCAAGAGAATGACACCTACCATTTTGTCCATGAAACTGTCCAGCTGGTATAGGTCTAAATCTTTCATTTATCTTTCTATATGTGTATTGTTGATTACTTTTCTGTGTCTGATCAAGTGATCTTGTACCTACTTTCCCAAAAATTGGAACATACTGCTGATTCCTATAGACATCAAAAAATCTTCTACTCAAATCCAACTCTGAAGAACCTTGTTTATCATCCCAGCTATGAGAATTAAGCTCTGAGTGTTCTTTAAAACAGGATATTGAAGAATTTTTATCTCTGTGATTACTTCTGACCTTACTCATAGAAGCATTTCTTTGACTAATAGAAACATAATTAGATGTTTGAGGACACTCAGAAAGATTAACTTCAGGTACTTCAGTTTCAGAACACTCAGAGTCATTCAATGTTGAGTGCAAAAAACTGTCAGACGTATCACTATCTTCATCATTTGTGCTTGCTGACAAAACACTTTCTTCATTGAAGTTACCAATACTAGATTTCTTTGCAAAGTCACTAGAGTTCTTATTTAACATGTTTTCAGGACTTTTATGTTCATTAGTCATTTTGTCATTATCCAAATACTGATTTTCAACATTATACTGATTATTAGAATAAACTGGGTTTGTGTCAATACATTTCACTTCCGGTTCTGAAACATTTAGAGGAACAGATTCTTTGACACTTGCAACAGGGGTGTGAATTCTATTCACACTAGATTCTTCAAGCTTTAAAGGTTGGGTTTTATTTTCAGTTTTGAATGATTCTCCATCAGCTGGTTTGTCTCCAGTGTTTGACAGCTCTTCAAGCTTTAAAGGTTGGGTTTTATTTTCAGTTTTGAATGATTCTCCATCAGCTGGTTTGTCTTCAGTGTTTGACAGCTCTTCAGTTTTTAAACTGGTACTATCATTTTGTAAAAGAGAGCTCGCAGAGCCACAAAACTCTTTATTATCAATTTTACTTTCACTCTCTTCAGACTTGGGTGTGTTACCGTCTTTTGTGGAGATGTTTGTAGATTTCTGTTGTAAAAGATTCTGATTTACAGCAGAGATAAAGTCATAATTTTTGAGTTTAAGAAATAAAGCTACATTCTGAAGCTGTTCTTCTGAAAAGTTTTCAGACTTTAGTTTTATAAGACGAAGATCTTTGGTTTCATCTTGTTGGGATTTTATAAACTCATCATAGGATGCAACTGCTTCACTGTAGGTAAGATGCTGGGAAGTTAAATCTGACTTCTGTAATAACCCACTCAAATCTGCCTTACTTTGAAGATCTAATGATTCAAGTGAGGCTGGGGACAATGCGTGGAGAAAGAATGTTGGTGTTTCTTCATTTGCAGAAGTTACCTGGTTATTATAAGAACTTGCCTTTTCTGCATTTTCATATGCATTTACTGGATTTTGTTGACAATTTTTCAATTCCTGATTATCTTCAACACTGAAACATTGAAAGTCTTGGTCAACATAAGAACTCATTTTACCCTCATCTGACTCTGAAACTTTATCATTTAATACATGTTTTACATCAATAGGAATTTTATGGGCAATATTCAGACTTGCTTCTAAATCTGTACATAACCTGTTTATAGAGTCATGTTTGTTATCAGTCAGTTGAAGGTTTTTGAAGGCCATAGTACTTTTGCTGTTTTCACCTTTTATTTCCTTGAAATGTTCAGAAGAAGAATCTTTTTCTTGTTGAGACTGACAATCAGGCAAGTTTTTGTTAGGAGACACATGAGAACTTTCAATTTTATCATAAAGCTCAGCATGTAATTCAACTTCAGAGTGACTATTACAGTCTGTTTTTATCATTTCTTGAACAAATAACTCTTTCTCACTGTTATTTGAAATATTTTCTCCTTCTCCAATTTTTTTTAAGGAAGTGGATGGTGAAGAAATAGAGGTAATTTTAGTATCAGAGAGTTTTGGCAATGTTTCCAATTTTGTGGAACCGCCATCAGAATGTCCAAAAGTCTCTGAAGGTACACCATCACCATTAATTAGAAGATTATTGTCAACTGAAAGTTGATCGCCTGGTTTCTCCGTTGTTCTGGCTTCATTCCCGGTAGTAGAGTCATGATTATTTAACTGTTGTTCATTGTTCAACTTATTTAATGGACTTTGTTTAATATGATGTACTTCAGTATTTCTATCAAGAATTGCTGCATAATTCCACAAATTGTTTGGTATGGGATCTGTTCAGGAAAAATAAAATACCATAAAAAAGGAGCAATAGCAAAGTTTATATATATATAAAATCTACAATGAAAAAAAACAAACAAAAAAACATCAAAATGCTTGCTGCAGAAAGAACACACATTGAGAAAAGTACCATTGATTAATAAAATATAAAAAAACTAATTTACAGAACTAATGAACAGATAAATAAAAATCTGATATCCTGTTTCTAATCCAATCCTTAAAGGCTAGTTATATACTAAACAATAAATCACTAATAAAATGAAATGAATAAATTAAATTTCATGACTAATTTCAGCTACTTTATGAAACCCAGTTATCTGATTTTAGGCCTCTACAAACCAAACTGCTATTTACTATTGTAGTTCTAAGTATAATAAGCAATTGGAGCATAAAAAGTGGTGAAACATTACACCAAGAACTGGATGGACAACTCCCCTTTAAATTTCAAGTCTGTTCTCTAAGGAAGTGTGTTGAATAATTCCTTATTTTTCATCATAAAGATCATATCCCACACCTTCTTGACCATCTTAATTAACAACACCCCTCTATACATTTCACTCATGAAACTGAGACTAATAACTATTTCTTTCTGGATGTTCTGGTTAATCGTGATAATAATGGTTTTTTCTACTTCTGTAGTCACAAAAATTCATTTTCTGGCCTTTTCACTTAGTTTGACAGTTCTATACCTCTTTCTTTCCAATGCAATTTCATACTCTGTCTACTAAATGGGGTTTCCAACCTTACCTCTACCTATCTGGACCTTCACAAGGAAATTTCTTTTATACAAAGCATTCCTTTTCAAAATGGCTACCCTAAGCATTTCATGGAGAAAATAACTTGGTCATTCTTAATAAATGTGTTTGCCAAGCTAGCTAAAATATCTGATGTACCCAAACTATCTTTATGTACTTGCTTACCATATCTTGGAAGACAGATCTCTCTTATCATGAAACAGTTGAAAAACATTATATAACTGTTACTGTCCTCAATTTGATCTGAAAGTTATTTTTAAACGTAATTTCAGACTTAAATTTTTCCAAATACAAAGATCATGTAGTGATTGTCCATTGTTCACATCTTGTCTATTTGTGCAAGTGCAGACATTGTAAGGCCTCTTATATTGGTGGAACTAAATGTCACCTTAAAGTATAAACATTTAAACATATGGGTATATTTATAAAAACTGGAAGAAAAGTTACAAATCCTTCCAACTCTGTTATCTACCAAAACAATACAGAAACAGGGCACCACAATTCTCTCTTGAACCTTAAAATCCTCCCAACAGCTAAACATGAAACTGAACTTCTGATAAAAGAGACATTGTACATGAAAACTCTTCTGTCTCTAAGTAATACACATTATTCATTTGATTTAAATGTACTTTAATATGACTTATTTCATTTGCACTACATATTGTTCATTTTCTCCCATTCTTTTGTTATATTCGAATTGTTTATTACAATTATATCACATTTCTAGTCTAATTACCATTATGTATTTTTGTACCTCTAGGTTACTGAAGATTCCAAAACATCTAATAAATGCTTCATGTAATTACCTTTTCAAAAAATGAATTGATTACTAGTAAGACTAGACAAGGTTTTAAGCACATTATTTGCTGGCCTAAAGTGAGAAGAGTTTATCATAACATTTGTACTATATTTTATGGCTTCATTTCTGCATTATGCTAATTAAAAGTAAAAATTCTTAGCTTTATAATAATTTTTAATTACACTAGTAACCATGAAAGAGATCATATTTCATTAGCTTTGATGTTACAAAGCTTGATTTTGTAAATGTCAGACATAAATAAAAATTTAAATGAATAACTTGGAAGCTACAAGTCAGGGATTCTCAAACTGTGGTACAAGGAACCAATGTTGGTGGTCCACGAAACAACCAAAGTAAAAATTATGATTTCATAATAAGCCATTTTGTGTTTCCCAGGTACATATACCCACTACCTTTTCCAAAAATGTTTTTCAAAGTATCCCTTTAACAGTTTTGGTCGAACATTAGAGAAGAGTACAAATCAATATCTAACACTGGTTTAAAAGTTTTAAAACTTCTTACTTGTGTGAAACTGCATTTTCCACTTTGATATCATGGCAAAATACAGATCAAGGCTGAATGTTGAACTTGACCTTCGCTTTAAATTGACAAAAATTATACCAAATATATTCCATCATTGACAAGAAAAAAAAACAATTACATCTTTCCTGTTAATGGGTAAATGGTAAAAATATTTATCTTTACTACTAGTTTTTTTAATCTTTTACATTAGGCCTGAGTGGTACATCAAAAAAGTTTAAAGTGGTATACAAGCCTGAAAAGTTTTAGAACCACAAGGGCTACCTAAACTAGCTTTCCCTAATTTTGAATTGAAAGACTTAAGGGAAAGCAGCTAGCAACAGCACCCATTGAAATGTCTTGGACTATTCTAATCAAACAGTAAGATTTGATTATCTCTCTTATGACATACCCATGGCCCCAAAGTGTGGAGCATGATTGTTTTTTCAAAACAATGACACTCAAACCATAGATCCACAGCCATACCAAGCCTTCTAATTTTATAAAATATTTTACTTATATTTTTAAACACTATCTACCTCAGTGCTTTCCAAAGTGGGTGCCATGTCATGCTCTGAGAGGTGTTACCATGGTTTTGGAAATTGCACAAAATGTTAAGTAATATAGAGTATTTTTAAATTTGTTTGCCGATGTGACATGCAAAAAAATTATCTAATGTTTTATATTTCTTTTTGGGCACGCGACACAAAAAAGGTTCACCAACACAGCTTTGTGTAGTGGCAGGTAAAGTGGGGAGCCCCACCTCACCAGCTTATACCCGTCTCTACGGTATCAAATTATTTTTGGTATGTACATAGTGTGTCACCATCAAAAAAGTTTGAAAAGCACCGATCTACCTTTTTATTACATTTTTTAAACTATTGTTTAAAAAGTACTTGGGAGTAAAAAAGTTAATTTTATAAATA